TTTCATATTATTAGGGATCCCATATCGAATTGTCCACTTTGCTAATAAACTAAAAATGTTAAGGGAGGAAGCTTGTTGGCTTACGTTCATTGAACTCCAAGTGTAAGTCAATGTCGATAATATCCTTGACCTATCTAGGTACTAAGTCGGGAATGTTACACTTACGAGAAAACTTAGAGATATGAGTCCTTTTTTCATCTTCTTCATCCCCACTTCCATTAGAGGGTTAGGAAAGATTTGGACATGGAATGTCCTTAGACATTTTCTTAAAGATACCTAAAAAAGATTTGGAAAAGTCCTTCTTAAGGAGGTTAGTTATAGTTTGATATACGAATTCTTAAAATGATAACCCCAAATACTTTTGGTTCCTTAAGAATTGAAAGCATTCATATTCGCGGACACTAGCTAGCTTTGAGGAAGTTCGGTGATGGAACAATGAAGCTTTATAGTTTGCTTTAATAGACATAAGATTCAATCTCTCTTAAGAGATCTTTTTTCATGTTTGGGATTCTTATACAATGTAAAAGAGGGATGAGAATGTCCTAGCAGAGCCCAAATTCCTTAGCAAAAACGTTTGAAATGTAAGGCCCCGCAAAATAGTGGTCATTAAGCAACTAGAAGTGCAATTGGCTGATTTTACCTTGAAAACCATAGAGAAGATACAATGAAGGTTCTCTAATTCCTAATATTTAAACTCCCTCTACATATTCTTGACCATCATGTTCCACTCTTAAACACCATATTACATTTATATCACGAGTATTGCTCCATTTGAGACCATCATGTTTGTCTTCCCTAGTTCTAAGAACAATAAAATTGTTTATAAAAAAGATAAGTAGATCAATATGTTGTTACAACAATCACGGTGTTCAATATAATGTTCCTATGTTTCTAATTGCATTTTTTAAATTCTTTAATAATGTTTGAGTCTCCAATCTATTTTTTTTATCAATTTTTCTTACCATAAGCAAATATTTTGACCAAAATACTCCTAGTTAAAAAGTTAAAAGAAATCTAAAAACTTAAAAAATAAAACATGCAAGTTATGTGACTTTATTTTTTTTTAAATAGAGACATTTCGATCAAAACACTTATTCATGATTAAAAATATTAATCGAAAAGACAAATTAAAGACTAAAATATTACGTAGAAACATAATAGATGTAATTAAAAAGGTAAAAATAGATTGAAGACTCGGACTAGGATATGAAGACAAATTAAACTATTTATCTTTATAAAAAAGTTCTATTAATGCAATCGAACTATTACAAGTGAAAATTAGTATAATAGAATTTATAATTGAATCAACATTTCAAATAAATGTTAATGTGACCAATTAGCCTTTATTGTTTTTTTTTTCACGATAAAAAATATTGTGCACATAAATCATTAGAATAAAATAAATGATATTAATAGTTTTTTTATATGAAAACGGATGGATCAAACTCTCAAACTCAAAGTTATTTGGTAAGGGCACTTGCAAGTTTGTAATCCATCAAGAAAATTAAAGAGCTTTTAGAAGCTATAAAGTAAATAGCTTAAAGAAGTTGTCGAGTACAAAGCCTAAACTAATCAAGAAATTAATGTAGTTGATCCTAAGTTTAAAATGTCCACAATAATTTGGAGTAAGTCCATGTTTTGGAAGCCCATCCTCAAATTTCATAGTCACCAAAAAATGGCACTCTCTTTTTTCAATCTAAAGCTTTAAATTAAATCTTTATTTTGTATTTTCTTTTTCAATAAAAAGTGAGCATTTGATTAAAATTTATCATTCCATTATTTAAACATCAAAAAACATTTTCAAGTTCAACAACACATTATTATCGCATACATTTAATTCTACAACCATTAAAAATAAAACATCCACAGATTCCATTAATCAAAAAAATTTTTACTTCATCTTATAATTTTCAAAATAATAAAATTAATCCTGCATTTTCAAAATTTTGAAAATGGGCTCTTTAACACTTACAATTTTTATTTTTATTTTTTTTGAACTTTTGGTAGTAATAACAAAAAGGAAATTATTATTACTATTATTTTTTTTTTGTTAACATTCTCACATATTTCTTATATAATGGTCAAGTTTTTTAATCTATTATATCTTTATTATTTTAATTATTTTTAATCTATCTTTTTGGTTAACTTTTGTAGCCAAACTATTAGAAATTGATTATGTGACTTGCATATGACATCTCTTTTAATAAAAAGGCTCTTTAGCAAGTCACATGGCTAATTTTTTATGGTTTTAAAGCAAAAGTTGATCATGGTGACAAATTAAAAACTATTTTAAAAAAACATAAATATAATAGAGTCGTTTTAGAATATAAGAATATATTGGAAACTTGAGTCATTAAATAAAGAAAAGTGAGATTATTAACTATTTGTTTGCTTGTTTTTTTTTTTTTTAATTTTTGGAGAAATCATAACCTATCTCTTATAAACGAGTAAATTATAAATTAATCTCTCTTGTTTCAAAAAATAATTTAATTAATTTCTCTCATTTTAAAAGTTAACTATTTAATTTTCATGTTTTTAAATTTACTTATAACCTAGTTTTTTTTTTCAATTTATTTTATGTTTTTTTTTTAAGAAATAGAACAAGAAAAAAATATGGAAAGATTGACGATAAAAGAAAATATTTTATGAAATAAAAAATAATGTTAAATTAAAAATGATCAAACTATGGTTGAAGAATTAAATTATAGTTTTTGAAACAATAGACATTAATTAATTCATTCCATGTAATGAGAGAGACTAATTTATAATTTACTCCCTATTATCCAAAACAATTAAAACAAAAAAAAAATGCTATTCGCACACTCGTGCACTCTCTTTATTTTCATTATGCATCCTCTCTAAAATCTCTATTCATTTATTGTGCTTGTCAATGTTTGCCGGAAAATATGCACTTTCATCCTTTGTTTTTTTTTTCAACTTTATTTTTCTTCGTTTTGGTCCTTGCATACTAAGAGAAGAGAGAAACGAGAGAGAGAGAGAGAGAGAGAGAGAGAGAGAGAGAGAAAGGGAGGGGAGAGAGAGAGGGACGAGACCCATTCGACCACTCTAACAGTCGATCTTACCATCATTTTCCCTTTGTTTGGATATTTCCTCTTAGGAGGAAAGAAAAGAGAGGAAAGAAAGTGAGAGGAAAGAAAACTATTTTTCACTTGTTGTTTGGATAAGAGTAGAAATGAAAGGAAAGAAAGTATATTTTCCTTGTTTGGATAATTGTAAAAAGAGGGAGGAAAGAAAATGTATTATTGTATATTTACTATAATACTCCTATGATTATATTTCTATATTTAAATACTTATAATAATTTTTTTTGAATATTTTTTTCATGAAAATAGCACAAATGATAATAAAAAAAAAATCTAGCATGTAACATCTATCCGAAATGATAAGATGGATAATGAATCGTCTCCATAGAATAATCGATAAGCTGTTTAATAATTAATTAATTCAATAGTCAATTTAGATTAATTATCAACATAAAATTAATTTAAATATGTATAACATATATTATTATCTATGCATATAATAAGTTAGTTGCTTTTACCCATCATTTTCTTAGCTTTTTTTTTAGATTAAAAAATTACTATTTAACAATTAAAAAAAGAGTATATTATAGCATTGTGAACAATCATAGAAAGTCAATTGAATCACAAAAAATGAGATAAATTGCATGTTTTGATAGATAGGCATAACCCATTACTCGGGTGAACACTCCAAATTCTATCGTAAAATTTACAGAGTTCCCGAAAGCCCAAGGTAGGCTTATTTTTCCGTCAAAAAGACTCAATCAAATGCAATCTACAACATCATGTTGTGGATGCCAGCAATCCAAGACATGAAAATATGTTTAGCCTTTTTTTTAATAATAATTTTTATTGCTTTTTTTGCAGTAACTCAAAAAGTGTTCGATGGGTCATTTTGATGGATGTTTTATGCCTGTTTTAGTGGGTTTTTTTTGGGTGGTTTTGAATCTGGTATGGGAATGTTTTTGGAGCTTCTTTGGTGGTTCAAATGACCTATCCAAATGAGTTGCTCTGTAAAGGACTTTGGGGGTCTGTTGGTAATAGTTCCAAGGCTGAATTTGGGGCTTTGGGTAGGTGTTGGGTCCGTTTTAGGGTTGATTATTTGCCTATTTTTTGAGTGGTTTTGAAGCTAGTTTGTGCGTGTTTTTGGAGCTCGCTTTGGTGGTTCAAATGATCTATCCAAAAGGGTTGCTCTATAAGGCTTTTGGGAGGCTGTTGTAATGAGTTTTAAGGCTGAGTTTGAGGGTTTTGGGTAGATGTTGGGTCTATTTTGAGGCTATTTTTTATGGTGTTTTGGGGCTTGTTTGTAGCTATTTGAGAGCTAATTTTGGTGCTTTAGGGGAGGTGTTAGGTCTTCCAAGTACTAGATCCAAAATTGTGAAAGGGTTGAGGAATGAAATGATGACAATTTCTTATGTAGAGTCATAGGCTAATATGTAAAAATAAATCATGGCCCCCAAGTTTTAACTTGGATTCTTACTTGTTTATCACCATCAAGTTGTGAGTTTGATTTTCTTATGTGATTATAAATCCATCTATTTTTTTTCAATTATGAGAATTTCACCGCATAACTTGACATTACTATTTGTGTTATATTTTATATCCTCAAAATCCGAAAATTTTCTTCCTGAATAATGAAAAGTGAAAATAAGCATTCTAATTTCATTACATAACTTTACACCCCTACTAATGTTATATTCTATAACATTCCCAAACCCAAATCTTTTTTTTTTTTCCTTTTAAATATTGGCAAACCCATTGAAATGCTCATGGCCCAAGTAAATTATAAAGTTCTTCTAGTTTTGAGATACAAATTAGTTTATCCTTTTTGTTTCAAAAATTAATTATTTAATCATTATTATTTATTTTATGTTATTTTGAATTTAGTTTGTTTCAAAAATTGGCTGTATTACCCAAAAAAAAAAAAAGAGTAAAAAAAATCCATTTTATCTCGACAAGAGTACATGGCCATGGCTCATGGGTTGTTGAAGCCCTTAATATCGTCTACAAGTGCAAGATTCTCTCACTTCTCCAATTCTTCGCTTTCTATAGGTTCGGTGGTCAAGCTCTTCACAAAAAAGATAACAAACCAAGAAATGAGTTCTTCCTCTTCTCAAATGCTTTAAGACTCAAGTATCCAAGCAAAGATAAGAATCAATCCAAGTGCCAACACCCCCACCTAATGATGCCGTACTCCCTTTCTTCAAATACCCAGTTACCCCTCCAATCACAAGAACCAAACCGTATGGTATTGTGAAGCGAAATCATACATCTTTCTTGGTTTTCTTGATTTCCAAGATCAAATCTTTTTGGGGGTTTTCACAAATCAAGCAAAGAACGAGAAAAAGAGAAGAAAAGAATGAGTCTATTTTTGGAGATGCCTAGAGATTTACGCCATCAAGCAACTCCGACAACCGATGACCATTGGTCTACCGCAATGACAAATGGTTCCAGCCATTTGTATTTCCTTCAACGCTTCTTTGGTGATACTTCTAATCCTTGATTCCAAGGAGCTAGTCCTGCACAAGGTAGACAAGGTTGAACATTTTGCCGGATGAAAAGCATAACTAATGAATGAATGAGGGCTTGTGATATTTAATAAAGTCGTTGATGTGTAAATCTGTTTTGGTGAGTTTTATCGTGACGTTACTACAAAGAGTGAGAAAAGGAGAAGGTGATGAGGCGGACAGAGGGCAAAAATGAGAATAAGAAATTTATTTATGATTTCTCGGGTTTCTTCTCCGGATTTCTCCCGATTTTGGGAGGAAAATGAGTCTCACCATTAATCGATTTGTTTAATATTTTTTTCTTTTCATTGCTTTCCTTCCAAAACCAAACGAAGGAAAATGTTTCTTTCCTCTCATTCGCTTTCCTCCCTATCCAAACACAAGGTTTATTTGCCTCGAAAAGTAGAATTTTTTTGTGTGGTGGTAAGCAATAAAATGATCAAAGGAATTAGATTAGGATCAAAAAATATTTTGAGTTTTTTTTTTAAAATTTTGATTATTTTGTGTGTATTCAAATGAGTTTTAAGATTTTAAATGAGTTTTGATGTTATTTTTGTTATTTTGAAATGTTTTCGGACAAAATGGGATATGAATTTAGTTTTAAGAGGTCGAAATGATAAAACCCAACTTTCTAATGACTCTTTTCGATGAATCGATGTTGCTAAAAATTACGGAGGTTGACGGATTAAATGCAACCTTTTTCTTTTTCTTTTTTTTTTTTTTGGCCCGAGCTTAAGCATGTGGGTCTTGTCTTTGGTTTTTTTCTTTAATTTATTTAATTAAAAAATTTTAGGCAAAATTTTTGAAACATCAAATGTTATTATTTGTGTTTTATCATGTAACATAGCAAAGGTAAAATATATATACTATCTTTTTATATTTTAAAATTAATATATATTTTAGATTATATTACTTTTATTATTTAAAATTATTCTTTAAATTTATCATTGTTTTATGAAAATTCTTACCAAATTAATATTTTTTATATAAAAATTTATTTACTAATAAATGTGATTTATTTTTCTCTTTATTTGCAGTTTAATATAAAATTTTAAAACATGATGATTTTACCTTTTTGAAAAAATAAATTGATATAATATATATCATGAAATATTAAAATTTTTAAATGATAGTGTGTGTGTGTATATAAATTAAAAATATATTTCAAATAATTTATCTCAGTTCACTAAGTACAATAAAAAATTATATAAAAAATATTGCATTATCGGTATTATTAAAAATTAATTATACATCTTCACTTATAACACCAATTATTTGTTTTGAATTTTTTTTTAAACATTATAGAACCAAATGTTTTTAAATAAAATAATTTAAACAATTTTTTAAAGGAACCATCTAGTTTTTTAAATATAGTTTCTTATGCTAACATTATTGATTAGTTTGGAAATAAATATATATATATCAAATGCATATACTTTAAAAAATAATTTTCTTATCGGTATTAAATAAAAATAAAAATAAATTATTTTTTATTAGTTAGTTTTTTATACAAATTCATACATTAATTGTAATCTTTTTTTAATGTAATTTTATGAAAATATATTTTTAAAGTATTTTCAAATTTTTTATGAATATTTTATTTTAATTTGTTATAATTTTTCATTTAAAAATCCATATATAAAAAGAATAAAAGATATTTTTTAAATATAAAATTTATAAAAAATAATTATAAAATAATTTCGTTCTGTACCATTCTCATCGTAAGCAGATTGTAAATTCTAGAAACCCTAAAAGCCAACCCTGCTAAAAGAGCTATATAAATTATACACCTTCCCCCTTCCCTTGGCTGTCAGTCAATCTTGCCTAAAAAAAAAAAAAATTGAAAAACCCTCTGTTTCTCTCTTAGGAAAAGATCGCCGTCATGGCTCGAAAACGCCCCATTGAAGAAGCCCCACCTGCCGCTTCATCTTCCGAGGAAGAAGAAGAAACCGATAGCGAACAAGAAGAAGAAACTCCAAACGGCACCGTCCAAACCCAGCAAAATGATGCTGGTCAGAATCAAGACGATGACGAAGGTGGCCGTGAAGACGATGGAGACGACGAAGAAGACAATGATGATGAAGAGGAGAAAGAGAAACCCATTCTTCCGCCCTCCAAACCTTCAGAACCCGGCTCGGAAATCGACTCAGAAGACACCGAGTCAACTGAGCCACAATCACCTTCTCTTTCTGGTTTCACAAACAAGCCCATTTCGCCGAAGAAGCGCAAACCCGGCCCAAAACTGGAGCAGCCCAAGACGGAGAAGGGCGGTGATGCCAAGAAAGGCAAGAGGGGAGCTGGAGCTAGGTCTGAGGGGTCTCACCGTTTATGGAGTGATGAAGATGAGATTGTGATATTAAATGGCATAACTCAATACCAAACTGAGAAAGGGAAAAGTCCTTTTGCGGATAATGGTGATTTTCTTGGATATGTGAAGGAGTCACTTCATGTTAATGTTACCAAGAAACAGTTTGTGGGCAAAATCAGTAAGCTTAAGAAGAAGTATTTTAGTGACGTCGGGAAGCATGAGAATGAGATAGATGAGATTTTTAGTAAGCCGCACGATTTGGAGTGTGTAGAGCTTGCAAGCAAGATATGGGGTGCCGGCGGCATTGAGGTATGTAAGAAGGGTCACTCTTGTGGAAAGAGTGGAAAAATTGTTAGTGGTGGTGGTGCAAGCGATGGTGGAGGACGAGTAGGGGGAGGCATTACTTTGGCCTTGCGGAGAAAGGGAAGTGAGGAAGCGAATGGGGAGAAAGGGAAGGTGAGTCTGAAGAAGGGGAAGAGCGGTGAAGGAAAGGAAGGGAATTTGAAGAAGCAAAGGCAGGGTTCAAATGAGGGAGAGGAGGGCAATGTGAAGATGGGGAAGAGGCGCTTGGGAGAGGAAGTTAAGAGAGAAGGGAAGGGAAAGGTAAAGGGTGGAAAAAAGGAGAAGCGCACTGCTGACGAGGAGTTGAGTGAAAAAGGAGAAGAAGTGAATGTGATTGTGAAGAAACAAAAGGTGAATGATGAAACGAAGGGTGGAGGGATGGGGTTGAGTGTGAAGAAGCGAAATGAAGTGTCAAACGAGGAAGTGGATGGAGAAGAGGAGGGGAGTGAGGATTTCTGGGATAGGTATCCATATTTGCGTTCATCATTGGACTGTGAAAATCTGCCCGACGATTTGAAGAAGAGCACAATGTTGATGCTGAGGATGGTTAAAAAGGAAAAGTTGGTTGATTTGGAAAAGGAATGGAGGAGTCTGATGGAAGTTAAGTTGGAGTTTACTTCGAAGCAAAATCATTTGATTGGAAAACAGATTAAGTTGAGTTTGGATGCTATGAAGTCTCAGGATTCTTAGTGTCCTTGTAACGAAAGGAGAACAAATTTTGGGAGGTAATAGTTTTGATTTAGTATTTTGAAAATGTGTTTTATTTTTTCTTTGGTTTATATACGTGATGGTTAGATTGCATCAGGTTTTTTCTTGTTCAGTTTCAATGAATTTTTTTTCCCAAACCTAATTGGGTTTTGCCTTATTTTTAGTTGATACCAATATGACTGTTGTCTTTCAGCTTGTGTTGGTGATCTGTAAGCTGAGGAAAGGAACTGAACTGGTACATCGGTACTAGATGAAACTTTTGAGAGCGAGACTGGATTGTAATCTATTTTGCAATTTAACTTGCACTTTACATTTATCTTTGAAACTGGTTTGGTAAGAAACAAACAGGTGAGAGTGAGACTGCAATTCTTTGTGATAGTAATAGTTTTTCTTTCTCCTTGTGCATTTGGTTTTTAGAGAATCCAAACTTATTGAACAAGCTTTCTACTCTGAAAGATTTGGAAAAAAAAAAACAAAACAAACCTAGCAGTCACATTGGGGTGGTTGGAAAGCTGTCCACTCTATCGTTGGAGGGTGAAGATTTGTGTGCTGATGAGGAGATAGGAAAGGTGATGCTGAGAAAAAGACGGTGGAGTTGGAAAGGGAGTGGAAGAGTTTGACGAAAGCTAAGTTGGAGTTATCCTGAAAAAAAAAAAATGATTTTTATGCAGAAATGTATAGGTTGGTTTGGATGTTTTGAAGTCTCAGGATTCTTAGAGCTGTTCTTGTAAAGAAAGTAGAACAAGTTTGGCTGTTGCTTTGTCGTCTTTCAGTTTCTGCTGGTTTCCTTGCAATGCATTATATTCTCTTAGAATGCTTTTTGCATAAGATGGAACTTTTACTGTAAAAGATTTCCCATCTATTAAGGGTAGCAGGATACAGTCTTATGGCTTTCAGGGACAAAATGGATATCAATCAATTGGATTGATTTCTCTGCCTAGCATTTTGGAACTCATATTGGCTACTCTGTTTCTCTGCTTCCAGTAATATAGATCTAAGGCAATCTTGTAGAGAGTTGTAGATGATGCTTAAAGTTTGGTCTTTGGTTTGGATCCCAAGATAAGAATTCTCAAACATCCTACTAGGTTGTACATGTAGTAAAAACTATTCTATGCAAAACATGCGCCTTTGATAAGCTTTAAATGACAAAATCTAAATTCTTTGACTTGAACAAGGGATTTCTCTCCACTTACAAATTCATGAATATCGCCATCCACCTCTATTGTACTCCTTCCAGCTTCCTTCTTCAATATTCAGTCCTTCATCAGTCTGTGTGCTTTCAGCGCATCCTCTCACATTCCTGCATCTGCATAAATGTTTGACAAAAGAACATAGACACCATGGTCAGCAGCTTTCAGTTCCATGTCTCTCTACAACAGTTTCAGCAATAGG